GACTTGCCCCGGTCTCCCCTACACATGTATAATACATGTGTAGGGGGGACCGGGGCAAACACGGCCCCTTTTCTTTTTTCAAGACGTTATGGAAGGCATGTACTATACTGTTGAAATGCATATTTATATATGTCATTTAGAAAAGAAATGTATTGTCTTTCATAAACTAATAACCAAATCGTAAACAAGACCATATTTTGGGAATTATTGGACTTTTTAGGTCGAGAGAGTTGGGGGCCGGACGAGCCCCGCCCTGAGGTAAATCCGGCCCCTACCAGGGCAAGTATGGCATGAAGGATAGAGAAGACAATTTACTAATAAGTGTATGGAATTTCATTCAATTCTGTTGGAAAATAAGTCCAGAACAAATCAGTGAATACAAAGAAAAAAATACTTAATTTTTGCGACGTAAAAATATTATTTTTGTGGTCAATTGGGTGACGTTATCAATAGTGACGTCACTTGGCACAATAACAGTTGCATTCGGGGTGGCCGAATGTGCCCCGGCAAAAGGGGCCGAACGTGCCCCAAATTGATATTTTCATAAAAAAACCACATTGATTGTCTGTGTCCACTGTGCCATACTCGGAGTCGTTTGCGCCAGGCGTGAGTTTCTCAATTTACTCAATCGAGCTGTTTAGTTCCGCCTGGAACTGTCCATTAATGCAATGGACATTTCTAAACTTCATACATTTTTGTACTAACTATTAACACTGCATCATATCTGAAGAATTACATATGGATACTATATATTCAAAACTTAAACTCCACTTTATAGTATCAGCAAGAAAAACTAATGTCAAGAAAACCTATACTTGTCAAAATCATGTGCAAGCCCAGGCGTATTGGCTTACATGGTAGCTACGCGCCTGACTGTACATAAAAACTCAGGAATGTGTATGACATTTACGCTCGAGGAAGTAAAACATAAAAATTGGCACGAGTTTTGTGGTTATTGTGTAAAGCATTTCAATCGATTATGTGGGCTATTTGGTTTCGGTGTATTGATCGTTGGGTTGATATCTAGCTACCGGCAGTAGTATTGGTCTACCTGTTCAGCGTCCTGTTCAACGCGACGTGTTTGTTTATATAGGACAAACCTTTTATCGATGTGTGTACGACCAGAGTTCAACAGCATATAATGTATTGTATACTATAGGGCACACGTTAATGGAAATCACCACCGACTCCTATTTCACAATGACTGGTACTAGTGTCTAGTGCCTACGTATTATTTTGAAATCAATAAATGAATGTTTTTATTTCGAAATCCTATTTATTTTCGGTGATAGATAATTTCTGATTAATTTCCATCATCTTTACGTCAATCTTATTTCGAAATAGCTCATGGTATCTGCCTACTAGAGATGTTATTTTATTTATTTGGCAATGGGCAGAACTGATTTTGTGCTAATGAATAATTGTGACATTTTACTAAACTTGCTCTGGAAGAAATGTTCACCTTTTCCATGGCAGTTCGCCAGGGCTATGAATGAAACAACTAAATCATGAGAATATAATGAATTAACTAGAGACGTGGGAGGGTAAGGCGGTTACGGAGGGATGGTAGTGGAGATGAAGGGGGAGTGACCCCTTCCTTAATCTTAATCTTAGGGCGGGGATGGGTCTATTGGGGTTTTTTCTTTCCGAAATTTAAATATGGGTCACTAAACGTACGAAAGGAAGGAGATCTGATGGTCATTCTTAAACAGAATCGGTGTGACAGAGTGGCAAGATGGAGTCCGGATTTCAAAGGGGTTGGACTGGGGGAATGGGAAGGAATTTGGTGTTAAAACGACTAGTGACAATTTCATACATGTACTATAGTGTAACCGAGAGCCAGTTGCGATTCACAGGGACCTGATAATTTGTTACAGCTATATTTTGACTTTACATGTTTTAGGGGTTTAGATCGACTTATAACTGGTCCCTGTATTGCAATTAGCTATAGGGTGATTATACAATGCATTGAACCACACTGTCCATTTCTTTTAAGCATGTTCCTTAACCCCCTCCCTTAACAGAATCCATCGATCTGTTTATGAAACAGTGATACAACATACATCTGGCAAACACGTGTGGTATAAAAAAAATCTGTGTCAATCATATACCATGAGGTCTAGTATTCATAGTATTCAATGTAAATGTAAGTAAATGGGGTAACAGAATACGTCAACAAGGAACTTGAGCGAAAACTAGCGACATATGCAAAACACTTACCTTACCTTGTTCACGAATGTCCTCGTCCACAGTGAACTGAATGAATTGCGTGCCGAGATTTCAATGTAAATAGCGAGGAACGAGGTCACGGGACGCAGGTATTTCTTAATACGGCGTGGTAATCGGGTGTGTGTCACGTCCCACTACCGCGCACATATATACAATCAATAACCTTTTTATAGCAAGGTAAACAATACAAAATTCGCTTAATCATGTATGTATGTCTTTAATTTTCATTTCAATACATATATCATTTAAATAAATAAAATATTATAATCTGTGTGTAAATATAAACTCTTCTCAAACTGCCACTGTACATGTATACAGGCTTGCTATATACACATGTACGTTGTTGTAAACGTGTTTACGGGATCCACGGGTTAAGTATTGTGAGGAAGTTGTGTTTTAGAAAGCCATACAACTGGAACCAATGACCGAGGCCGGTGTATTTAAAGCAATGATAATTCGAGTTCACACTGTCAAATAGCAACTATAGTCTGGCTTAAAATAAACCATAGAAATATAAACGCTATTAAAAAATGTACATGTACATCTATCAAGCATTGTATTATACAATGTTATATTGAATTAGAGTTTGGAATTAGTTATTGCAAAATGTGATTTATTTATTCAGTCAATCAAGAGGGGCGGGTTACATTCATATAAACAACGAATAAAAAAACGGTATACACGTGTCTGTACATCGAACGGCGTATATTTAAGATTAACAGTTGTCTTAATAGCAACTGGCATGGCCGAATTCTTCCAAGTAACTACAGTTATAGAACCCAAGCATTGATGATGTACACTCAAAATAACACATTGGGAATGAAAACAATCAAAAATAGTAAACAAAACACGTTAAATCTCGTTTTAAAATGTTGACTTCACGACTGCTACATCTATATAAAAATGAACAAACTGGTGATCATGTACAATAGCAATCGACACCACCGCATCAGACCTGAACATTCTGGTCATGTAAAGTAGAACAAACGATGAACATTCTGTTCATGTAAAGTAGAACAAACAATGAACAGTCTGGTCATGTAAAGTAGAACAAACGATGAACAGTCTGGTCACGTAAAGTAGAACAAACGATGAACAATCTGGTCATCTAAAGTAGAACAAACGATTAACAGTCTGGTCATGTAAAGCAGAACAAACGATGAACAGTCTGGTCATGTAAAGTAGACCAAACAATGAACAGTCTGGTCATGTAAAGTAGAACAAACGATTAACAATCTGGTCATGTAAAGTAGAACAAACGATGAACAGTCTGGTCATGTAAAGTAGACCAAACGATGAACAGTCTGGTCACATAAAGTAGAACAAACGATTAACAATCTGGTCATGTAAAGTAGAACAAACGGTGAACAATCTTCATGTAAAGTACAACAAACGATGAACAATCTGGCCATGCAAAGTAGAACAAACGATGAACAGTCTGGTCATATAAAGTAGAACAAACGCTGGACAATCTGGCTATGGAAAGAAGAACAAACGAGGAACAGTCTGGTCATGTAAAGTAGACCAAACGATGAACAGTCTGGTCATGTAACGTAGACCAAACGATGAACAGTCTGGTCATGTAAAGTAGACCAAACGATGAACAATCTGGTCATGTACAGTTGAACAAACGATGAACGATCTGTTCATGTAAAGTAGAACAAACGATGAAAAATCTGATCATGTAATGTAGAAAAAACGTAGAAAAAACAATCGGGTCATGTAGAGTAGAACAAACGATGAACAGTCTGGTCATGTAAAGCAGAACAAACGCTGGACAGTCTGGTTATGTAAAGTAGAACAAACGAAGAACAGTCTGGTCATGTAAAGTAGACCAAACGATGAACAGTCTGGTCATGTCAAGGAGAACAAACGATGAACAATCTGGTCATGTACAGTTGAACAAACGATGAACGATCTGTTCATGTAAAGTAGAACAAACGATGAACGGTCTGGTCATATAAAGTAGAACAAACGCTGGACAATCTGGCTATGGAAAGAAGAACAAACGATGAACAGTCTGGTCGTGTAAAGTAAAACAAACGATGAACAGTCTGGTCATGTCAAGGAGAACAAACGATGAACAATCTGGTCATCTAAAGTAGAACAAACGATGAACAGTCTGGTCATATAAAGTAGAACAAACGCTGGACAATCTGGCTATGGAAAGAAGAACAAACGATGAACAGTCTGGTCATATAAAGTAGAACAAACGATGAACAATCTGATCATGTAATGTAGAAAAAACGTAGAAAAAACAATCTGGTCATGTAGAGTAGAACAAACGATGAACAGTCTGGTCATGTAAACTAGAACAAACAATGAACAAAGTGATATTGTAAATTAGAACAAAAATGAACAATGTGATATTGTAAAATAGGACAAATGCTGAACAGATAGTTAGGGACATAGTTATAGTATTAAATATCCTACCTTAAAAACGATCAAATGTCTGAATCCGTACTGTCTGTATGTACCGTGAACCATGCGTGTAATTCGCGGAAATCACTTATTTATAGCGACATATGATACACAAATCTGGGTAACGGCACTGACTTGCACAAATAAGAAGGAGACTAGGATTTGTAACCAAGTATTTTATGGCGATGTGCTGTCTGTGTCACATTTTGATGTCATACCTGGATGGTATTTATATATTTACTAAAAATAAAAAATAAATAGTAAATCAATAGCACAGACGTAACAAACAGCAACGAAAACATGAAAAAATAAATATGTGTACGATATATACACCATCACACGACTCGTACTTCGGTCCGGAGTCGAACGAGTTTCAGCCACTCTAGTGTTAATATTAAGATTATGAAGCAATGTCGTCCATAAAATGCCCCATGCCCAGCCTACTTGTAAACACACCTAGCCCGAGTTCTCCGGGCAAGATTTGGGGACCGGGGCAAGTTCGGTCTAATTTTTCCTTGTCTTTTATATAAAAAAATAACCGAAGGGAAAACACGTCCCTATTTGGCGAATTATTTAACTTTTTCAGTCGGAAAATTTGATGGCCACAAAGTTCCCCGCTTTTGGGCAGGTTCGGACAGGCAGTCTGTGATAAGTTTGGCCCAACATAATTATGACTAGATAAATAAGTAACGATTCAGTTTTACAGAACGCTGGAAGAACTAGAAAAAAGTGAGGTTCCGATTTTCTTTCTACCCTTCCATACTTTTTTTCTGTTTAAGTTATTGAAATATTGAGTTTTCTTTGCTGGTTTATTTTCGTGTGAATGTCCCACCCGGTTAACTTACCTGCCAAGATCCCCAAAGTTGTAAATATTTGCCCAAGACCAAAAATATCCGGGGAGGGCCTGACTTACCCCGGTTTCACGTACATTGTACCTACTAACATACAGTGACGTACTTCCAACACATTTCAACAAACGACGTTTACGCCTGAACCACTGACAGAACAGAAAAAAGACTGGATGAATCCGTAAATGGTGGGGTTTCGAGCCCCCCTCCCCTCCTCAAGCAAGAGTGCCCAATGGGCCTGAATCGCTCACCAGGGGCCTGGCTTTGCAAGGCTTTGTCAAGACCCGCCTGAAAGCAGCATCAGATTACAAGGTCCGACCTTATTTGATAAACGGACAACAGTGGTCCGACCGGTTTGACCGTTTAAACGAAAACGGCCCTGGTATTAACCCCACACTTGTAACCTTAAAAGTGGACTAAAATACAGCTACAGGCAAAATATCCGTGTTTGATTCAAAATAATATATATATTAAAATATTCAAAAATATTACCCCTGTGATATTGAACGTCAAACAAGGACATTAAGTTGAACAGCTTAATCTCCTTTATGGCCATGTGACCTTGAATATAATTAAAGGCCATTCATTTGAACAAAGTTGTTTGCACTTCATCCCAGTATCAGCTACTGGCCAAGTATATTCACCCAAGCTTACCTACATATGTAGGCCTCTTGGTTATTCAGAAGAAGTTGTTTAAAGGTTTTAAACATGTTTGACCCCTATAACCTTGAATATACGTTNAGGCCTCTTGGTTATTCAGAAGAAGTTGTTTAAAGGTTTCAAACATGTTTGACCCCTATAACCTTGAATATACGTCAAAGTCATTCATTTGAACAAACTTGGTAGCCCTTTATCCAAGCGTGTTACTGGCTAAATATCATCACTCTAGGCCTCTTTGGTTATTCAAAAGAAGAAGTTTAAACGTTTTAACATATTTGACCCCTGTGACCTTGAAAATGGGCGAATGTCATTAATTTGAAAACTTGGTAACCCTTTATCCTAGTATGCTCCTGACCAAATATCATCATCATAGGCCTTTTGGTTACTCAGAAGAAGCTGTTTAAAGTAAACAGTTGACTCCGGGCGGACGGACGACGTACGCCACAACACGGCATACATGTAAGCTCACATGGCCTTCCGACAGGTGAGCTAAAGAACGGAAAAGAAAAACACACACTCACACACACTTTTCCTGGGCTAAGGAGTTGGTTTAAAGAAAAAAGAAGAAAAAAAGCGCGATGTCTCCTCTGAGATTGACATCAAACAGATTTAGTTTGAAGCATTCTCAAGTGATAGGGATTTAAAACTGTACAAAGGGAGGGACTGACTCAGTTGGGGATAAAGGTAGGGCTAAAAGGGCCAATTTCTGGTCAAATTGCATTTAGCATTTTTTTTCCCTTGAACTATGAAATTGACACCAACTATGGTTTGGTTTGAAGCTAGGGTAATGAAGATTGTACATGAATGCTTACCATCACAGATTCGGAACATAGTGGCAAACAAAACGACAACCCGAGCGTTCAAACCGACATCATCCTGCATGATAGATTCCAATATTATTACTTTCCTCTTTAAAAAATACATATGCCAATATTTTTTACATGATACCGACTTTTTCGCCTTGATTTTATCCCAGGGACCTGCTAATCAGTTACAGCTTTATTTGGACATATACTATGGTAATTAGAGTAATTCCACACGTTTTAGAGGTTTAGATAAAATTTTCGTTAAAATGTCACGCAACAGATTGTAAAATTACTCTCAACACCTAAATTAAGGTCTTTTAACAAATGCTCAGGTCCAACCTGAATTAAAAAAATTCTCGGGTCCCTGTGGATTTTGTAGGTCCACTCCGGAGATTCTTTCCTTAATTTAGTACGCATCTCCTTACCAATACTTCCGGATGACGAGATACACGTGCAATTGAGGCGGGAGGCGTGACGTTATATCACATTTTGTTGTTGTCTACATGGTGAGTACTGAGTATCACAAAACAGATCGTTTAAATAACTCCATTTTGTTCCTTTATAAAAAATGATGCTTGTACTTGATGATATAGCGTGATAAAACTGTAATGAACACATATCAAAGGTGTTTGAAATTCTGACTAAATTGAGATAAAAATCATATAAAAAGAATGGCATTACTATTTCAAGCACCTGTGCACATATCAGTAAAACATAGGACAACATGCAAAGCGAAAGTAGATGAATTTGTTGATATTCAGCTTGGATTACACATGACAAACGTTAACTTATGCATAGCGTATAATATATGTGTCGTAGAGTGGTTAGAGGTGAGTTTTAATCAATACCTTATCGGCTAGTGCAAAAAGAAAAAAAAACCTCTCCAATGTTTAGCTCACCTGCCCTTATGTTTATCTCACCTGCCCTTATGTTTAGCTCACCTGCCCTTATTATATAATTATGTCATGGCTCGGCGTCTGTCGTCGTCCGCCAACTTTTCCTTGAAACAACTTCTTCTGAAGAATAGAGTCATGGTATTTGGTTTCGTTCGTAGGAGCCCGACAACGTTGACCTACTTTCAAAGTTATAGGGGTCAAATGTGTCAAACACTTCAAACAACTTCTTCTGAAGAACTGAATGTTATAGAATCGTCATATTTGACTAGTAGCTTCCTGATATAGAGCCCAACTAAGTTTCAGAATGAAAATGGCCTCAACCTACTTAGAAGGTCACAGGGGTCAAATATGTCAAACGCTTCAAACGACCACCTCGGATGGAGCCCAACAAAGTTTGAGAACAAATTGACCTTGACATACTTTCATGGTCACTGCCATCAAAAATGTCAAACACTTTTACTGACTGCTTTTGAATAATCTTAAAGCATAGAGTTACAATATTTGGCTTGTAGCTTCCTCAGATGGAGCCCAACAAAGCTTCAAGGTCACAGGGGTGGAGCAAAGTTTGCGAGTGAAATATTTGTACTACAGTATAATATTGATTATATTAAATGAAAAAAAATTGCTATGATCATGACTGCTTAAATATTCCGGTGAACAATACAGGCCCTCTCGACCTTTTGTAAAGGGATTCCATGCAAGCGTATAAAATAGGTTATGAGCTGACATTCTTGCTTAAAAAAGGATGGAAACAGTTTGGTAATCATGTATTGAAGAAAATGTAAACTATGGTCATTGAAGAAACTGTTGAAAAAAATATAGTTTTTGACTTGAGTGACACATAATTTTTGTGCACACTCACAGCCTTGAATATTACAAATACTGAATGAAAACCTGTGTATGTACTCTTGGAGTGGCCATATATTCAATATGATCAAGAAAATTGTAAGAAAATGCTTCATATTTCTAGAATTATCTCATTGGACAAATCACAATTTATCATGAAGCTACATGTAACAAAAGTCTTGAGCACATGAGTCAAGCCAGATCATTGGAGAGTGAACCTTGTAAAGATCAAGCCAGATAATTCGAGAAAGAACCAGTTGTGAACCTTGTAAAGGTCAAGCCAGATCATTGGAGAGAGAACCAGTTGTGAACCGTGTAAAGGTCAAGCCGGATCAATGGAGAGAGAACCTGTTGTGAACCGTGTAAAGGTCAAGCAAGATAATTTGGGAGAGAACCTGTTGTGAACCGTGTAAAGGTCAAGCCGGATCATTGGAGAAAGAACCAGTTGTGAACCGTGTAAAGGTCAAGCCAGATCATTGGAGAGAGAACCAGGTGTGAACCGTGTAAAGGTCAAGCCGGATCAATGGAGAGAGAACCTGTTGTGACCCGTGTAAAGGTCAAGCCAGATCATTGGAGAGAGAACCAGTTGTGACCCGTGTAAAGGTCAAGCCGGATCATTGGAGAGAACCTGTTGGGAACCGTGTAAAGGTCAAGCCAGATCATTTGAGAGAGAACCTGTTGTGAACTGTGTAAAGGTCAAGCCAGATTATTCGAGAGAGAAACTGTTATGAACAGTGTAAAGGTCAAGCCAGATCATTTGAGAGAACCTGTTGTGAACCGTGTAAAGGTCAAGCAAGATAATTTGGGAGAGAACCTGTTGTGAACCGTGTAAAGGTCAAGTCGGATCATTGGAGAGAGAACCTGTTTGGAGAGTGAACCTTGTAAAGATCAAGCCAGATAATTCGAGAAAGAACCAGTTGTGAACTTTGTAAAGGTCAAGCCAGATCATTGGAGAGAGAACCAGTTGTGACCCGTGTAAAGGTCAAGCCGGATCATTGGAGAGAGAACCAGTTGTGAACCGTGTAAAGGCCAAGCCGGATCAATGGAGAGAGAACCTGTTGTGACCCGTGTAAAGGTCAAGCCAGATCATTCGGGAGAGAACCTGTTGTGAACCGTGTAAAGGTCAAGTCGGATCATTGGAGAGAGAACCTGTTTGGAGAGTGAACCTTGTAAAGATCAAGCCAGATAATTCGAGAAAGAACCAGTTGTAAACCTTGTAAAGGTCAAGCCAGATCATTGGAGAGAGAACCAGGTGTGAACCGTGTAAAGGTCAAGCCGGATCATTAGAGAGAGACCTTGTTGTGAACCGTGTAAAGATCAAGCCAGATCATTGGAGAGAGAACCAGTTGTGACCCGTGTAAAGGTCAAGCCGGATCATTGGAGAGAGAACCAGTTGTGAACCGTGTAAAGGCCAAGCCGGATCATTCGGGAACGAACCTGTTGTGAACTGTGTAAAGGTCAAGCCAGATTATTCGAGAGAGAAACTGTTATGAACAGTGTAAAGGTCAAGCCAGATCATTTGAGAGAGAACCTGTTGTAAACCGTGTAAAGGTCAAGCCAGATCATTCGAGAGGGAACCTGTTGAAAACCGTGCAAAGGTCAAGCCAGATAATTCGGGAGAGAACTTGTTGTGAACCGTGTAAAGGTCAAGCCGGATCATTCGGGAGAGAACCTGTTGTGAAATGTGTAAAGGTCAAGCCAGATCATTCGAGAGGGAACCTGTTGTGAACCATGCAAAGGTCAAGCCAGATCATTCGGGAGAGAACTTGTTGTGAACCGTGTAAAGGTCAAGCCGGATCATTGGAGAGAGAACCTGTTGTGAACCGTGTAAAGGTCAAGCCAGATCATTCGGGAGAGAACCTGTTGTGAACCGAGTAAAGGTCAAGCCAGATTATTCGAGAGAGAAACTGTTATGAACCATGTAAAGGTCAAGCCAGATCATTTGAGAGAGAACCTGTTGTGAACCGTGTAAAGGTCAACCCGGTTCATTCGGGAGAGAACCTGTTTTGAACCGTGTTAAGGTCAAGCCGGATCATTGGAGAGAGAACCAGTTGTGAACCGTGTAAAGGTCAACCCGGTTCATTCGGGAGAGAACCTGTTTTGAACCGTGTTAAGGACAAGCCGGATCATTGGAGAGAGATCCTGTTGTGAACCGTGTTAAGGTCAAGCCGGATAATTGGAGAGAGAACCAGTTGTGAACCGTGTAAAGGTCAAGCCGGATCATTCGGGAAAGAACCTGTTGTGAACTGTGTAAAGGTCAAGCCAGATTATTCGAGAGAGAACCTGTTATGAACCGTGTAAAGGTCAAGCCGGATCATTGGAGAGAGAACCTGTTGTGAACCGTGTAAAGGTTAATTCAGTCACACTTTGCATGCCTTTTTATTTACCATCAGTCAGGCTTGTTGGCTTTGTGCTTAGTTGTGGGATAGCTCTTGTGGAAATACTTGTCATCACTCTGGATTTTCCATCCATTTAGGGAAAATATGTTGACATGCTCAGGTATAGAAGAAAATATCAATTGAAGTGCTCACCGAACTCGGTACGCAAATCAAAGAGACCCTATAGAGGACGTTCTATTTTTATGGACTGGACACAATTGCTGTGAATAGATTCTATTTTTCGTTAGTATCTAAAACTCCTATTCTCTTTTTTAACTTTTATTTAACTCTATTGTGGCCATGCAAGTAAAGTGCAGACTGTTCTAAGGGAGACAACTGTATCATACACGTATTCTAAGAAACCAAAAAATCGGTTTTTTACTGAAAATATTATCATAGTTCATAGATCTTTAGAAAAGTTTTGATCCAAGTTTTATTGATTGTCTGATCTTCATTAAAATAGAATTTGTTTTGATAAAACATCTATTGGGGAGTCAAGTTACTTTCGTTGCAGACTTGGCATACCAGGGTATATAGCCTCTGACCAATTTGATGGATGGCCATTTGTAAAAAAAAAAAATTTGGTGTATACAACGTACAATGAACCATCTTAACCAAATTGGGCAAAATAATTTCGACACGTATGTATGTTACGTTGCAGGATTCATTTTAAGACTGACTGTAAGATCAAAATGGCCGCTAAACAGCCATCTTGAATTTTGATAACCTGTTTAATATTATCATCGGACATCCTTATTTCTCATAGTACTTGCCATATCTGCAGTCATCTTTTTATTCATATTAGTCTCAATATCATAATATAAACTTCTTAGCATCTGGGCAGCCAAAAGGCTTCTGATTTTGATTTTATATTATTTTGCTTTCAAGAAATTACATTTTTAATGCACAATACACCGAATTAAATTTCAAATTTATTTTAACTATCAAACAGCAAAAGCAAACGTGAACAAGTCTTTAACATATTAAATTTAAGGTTCCTTGTTCCACTGCTATGTGTTTCATATATATAGTTAATTCCCCTTAACTTTGTTTTGATACAACTGCAGCACATTTGGACATGGATATGTATGACCAGGCAGCTGGTTTGAGTGCCAGTGTTTTAACATTGAGAACACTTTAGCTCACCTGGTCCGATGGACCATGGTGAGCTTATGCTATATCGCGGCATCTGTCATCCCTCCGTTGTCCATGCATCCTTGAAAACGCTACTTGTCCTGAACAGCTTCATTGATTTCGACCAAATTTGGCCTGCAGCATCCTTAGGCAAAGAGGACTGAATTTTGTATAAACGGATGGTGTGCCCCCCTCTGGGTGCTGAGAGACGGGGCACAATAGGGGAATTTAAAGTTTAAACCTTTAAAATCCATTAAAAGTCATTGGAGGTATTTTATCCAAATTTGTCTCAGCTAGAGCATCATTGGGCAAAGGGAACTCAATTTTGTATAAACGGATGATGTGGCCCCTCTGGGTGCTGAGGGGCTGGGTCCAATAGGGGAATTTGAGGTTTTAACATTTAAAATCCTTCTGTACCATTAAAGTAGAATTTAACCAATTTTTCGTGAAGCATCCTTTGGCAAAGGGGACTCAATTTTGTATAAACAGAGGGTGTGGCCCCTTTTAGTGGATAGAGGCAGGGCCCAAAAGGGGAATTTGAGGTTAAAATCTTGAAAAGACTTTAATCTTCTTTTTTACCATTGGAGATATTTTAACCAAATTTGGTCTGCAGTGCAGTATCATCTGACAAAACCAACTACATTTTGTATAAATTGAGGGTGTGGCCCCTGGGTGCAGGGAGATGGGGCACAAAAGGGCAATTTGAGGTTTAAATCTTCAAAATCCTTCTCCTTCAGTATGATTGGAGTTATTTTAACCAAATTTGGTCCAGAGCATCATTTTGCAAGGGAGCTCCATTTGTTTTAGCAGAGAATAGTCCCCCTGTGTGCAAAAGGGAAGGGTCAAGTAGGGGGAACATAATAAATGTTTAAAATCCTTTTCCTTCAATTTATTTGGAGGAATTTTCACTAAATTTTGTGTAGAGCATCCTTGGACAAAGCAAAGGGGACTAAATTTTGTATAAATAGATAGTTGATTTTATGGGGCAGAGGAGTCGATTTTATAGGGCAGAGGGGCAGGCCCAATCGGGTAAATTGTGGTTAATCCACCGTCCGTCCGTCAACAATTTCTTTAAACGACTTCTTCTTCTTAACCACAGATTGGAATTTAACTAAATTTGACCTGAAGCATCCCTAGGTGGTTGGGATTCAAAATTGTACAAATGGTGGGGCTAACCCCCAAGGGGCTGAGGGGCGGGGCAAAAAGGGGGCAATTTGGCTAAACTGCTTTAAGCGACTTCTTCTCTGGAACTAAGTGATGGATATCAACCATATTAGACTGGAAGCATCCCTAGGTTGTGGAGATTCAAAATTGTACAAATGGTTGGGCTGACCCCCTGGGGGCTGAGGGGCGAGGCAAAAAAGGGGTAATTTGGCTTTATTTCTACAAACGACTTCTGTAGAACTATGGGCTTGATGTCAATCATATTTAATCAAAAGCATTCATGGGATGCAGGGATTCAAAATTGTACAAATGGTGGGGCTGACCCCCCAGGCTTAGGGGTGGGGCCAAAAAAAGTTTATTGCCTGGAAATGGTTGAGATCCCCACCATATAACCACATATGCAATTGCTGAGTATAAAGAGAATAATGCACATTTGCTTCTGGGATGCATGGCCCTAGTTTCTGGCCCCACCCTTGGAAACATAGTCCTTGGGCCATAACTTAAAAACGGTTGAGATCCCCACCCCAAAACTATATATACAAATGCTGGGCATAAAGAGACAAATGCAGTCACGATATTAGAATAGACCCTGGGGTCTGACCAAACCCCTAGGGACCTAGTTTTTTAGTCACAGCTTGGAAACAGTTGAGATCCCCGACCTATAACCATATAGACAATTGCTGAGTATAAAGAGATGAATGCACATATGCTTCCAGGATGGCCTTGGGGACTGACCCACCCTTTGAGACTTAACCCCTGGGTTATAACTTGGAAATGGTTAAGATCCCCACCCCAAAACTATATATACAATTGTTGGACATAAAGAGACAAATGCAGTCATGATATTAGAATTGATCCTGGGGTCTGGCCACAACCATAGGGACCTAGTTTCTGAGTCACAGATTGGAAACAGTTGAGATCCCCACCCCATAACCATACATAAAATTGCTGGGCATGAAAAATCGAATACAGATATATATGCTACAAGGATTGGCCTTGGGGACTGGCATATTCCCATGGATCTCATTTGGAGAATATTCTGCCGTGGTTACTTAGATATCCAGGTGAGCGATACAGGCCATATGTGCTTCTTGTTATACATAAGAATAATTTTCCATGGTTGCTTTATTTATCCAGGTGAGCGATACACTAGGCCCTCTGGGGCTCTTGTTTTATTTTGGCTTCATTTGATTTTCAAGAAAATCATGCAAGGTATGATATTCTCTTCGGAAATTATTTATCAAAGCTATAGTCTTGCCGGGGGAAATTTAAAAGTTTAAAATAAGAAGTTACAGTTTTTATGAGCCCGTCATTTGACGGAAGTATTATGGTATGGGGTTGTCCGTCCGGTTTAATCTTGTGTTTGTCCGGCAATCTCCTCCTACATTTTTTTACCAATCTCTTTGAAACTTAGTATATATTGTAATCACGATATGAAGTTGTGTTTCCCTAAAAAGAATTTTAATTCAACAATTTTTCCAAAGGTTATTGCCCTTTCTTGATTTCAGTATTTGATTTTTTGATTGGAGATCTTCTCCAAACATTTTTGATCGTTGTCTTTGAAGCTTAGTAGGCTAAATAATCATGATATGTTGTTGTGTTTACTTGAAAAGAATTTTGATTCAACAATTTTGCAAAAGTTATTGCCTTTTGTTTATTTCAGTATTTGATTTTTGTCCAGCAATCTTCTCCTACATTTTTTTAACGGATCTCTTTGAAACTTGCTATGCATTATACTCATGATATGAAGTTGTGTCTCCCTCGACAGAATGTTGATTCGACGATTATTGCAAAAGTTATTGTCCTTTGTTTATTTCAGTATTTGATTTTTTGTCCGGAGATTTTCTTCTACATTTTTTATAGCATATCAGCTAACCAATCTTAGAATGATGCAGATCTTATTTCAATGTCAGAAAGTATGTAACACTATTTGGCATTCGATGGGCGTATATTGTTCCGCCCCGTGGTACTCTTGTTGGCAATGGTACATGTACGTGGATCCTTGAATAATATTGGTACATTTGTTCAAATAATCTGTTTATAGAGTCATGCTCCATTTGCTATGCGACTCGAGCCCTTACCTGATAACGTTTAATAAGCGTGGTTCTGGATCACAGGGTCGACTTACTCCAAAACTTTTTGAGGTTTACATGGCGAGATACTTTTGACAGGCGCCGCGCAAGTCGCAGTTGGCAAAATCATATCCGATAGAAAAACAGGCCGACCAGCAGCCTCTTATATTATAGGAGTAAGGGTCGACTGAGATGTTTATAATATAAATTCAGAATATATAAGTGACAAAGTACATATCGTTTTTCTTCTAATGCAAATAGGATATATTTTTATACCAAAAAAATAAAATGTTATGAACAACATTATTCTTTTTCAGTTTTAAAATATTTTGGACTGATCTGACAAAGTCACTATTTTATGTGTTTCAGATAATTCTTGCCTGAGAGCCTGCTATTACAATGGCAGAAGGTGGATTTCTCAAAAACCAGGATCAACATTTACTTGAGTGTCCCATCTGTCTGGAGCAACTACAGCAGCCTAAATCCCTGCCATGTCTCCACACCTTTTGCCTGGATTGTCTTGGTACCTATATAAAGAAGGAATTATCGGGTAAGAGGGCGTCAGAGACTTATTTCTCTTGCCCAATTTGCAGGGAAATGACCCACCCTGTCAATCAAGCAGAAGCAAAGGATAACTGGGCACAGCAGTTCCCGACTAATGGCCTGATTCAGGAACTTGCTCAGCTCAAAATGAAGTCGACAGAACCGTTTTATTGCAAACCCTGTAAGACCAACGAAAACATTGACACTCCAGCCAAATTCTGGTGCAAAACTATGGACGTGTTATTTTGCGATCTATGTAAGTCGAGTCTCCATGATAAGTTACACGAGGATTGCAGTATAGCAGACATAACTGACGGGGGGTGTCGTACACCTAGACAAAACCAGGAGACTCCTCAATGTGGCAAACACAATGAAAAGATTGATTGCTATTGCAAAGATCATCAGTTGATTGGCTGCAACAAATGTGTGTTTTTAGACCACAGACGATGTGAAGACGTGACAACGACGGCGGAGTACTTCGAAAAGTTGAAGGAAGGTTCTGACTTGGAGAAAACTAAGAAAACACTGCTTAAAGGAGCTAAAGTCATGTTAAAGCTGGTGAAAGAATTTGGAGAAGAACTTGACAACCTGGTTAAGAACCAAGATATGGCACTTCAGAGTATAACCGATCTACGTAAAAGATTGGACAACAGATTGGACAAGCTTCAGAAGGACATCACTGATGATTTGATCAGATCGGTCAAAGAAGAGAAGAACCTTATCCAGAATTCTATGAGTCTGTGTCAACGTCTGACAACAGCTATGCAGAGTACCATGATGTTATCGAGTAAAGCTGTTGAGCGAAACGATGACATAGAGGCGATACTGCTGCATCAGAGGGGACAGATGGAGGAAATGACTTGCAGGGACCTGGTGAAGGTATTGAAGAAGTCTTTCACATCTGTCAGTATTAAACACGAGGTCGATCCGAGTATCGCTTCAATCAACAATGCATTCGGGAAAGTCGTTATCCTGAAACAACCAAAACCCTTTCCCGACATGCTTGGTTTTGTTGCTACACCATTAGGGGGTCGAATTGCGAAGGAACTAGTGAAGTTCAACATCACGTGGCTGTCAGATGCAACCACATCCTCCGCTGCACACGGAATTGTATACCTCCCAGATAACCACATAGTGGTCAGTGATTATAACAACATGAAACTGAAGTTGTTCAAGGACAATGGACAGTATCTGAATGAGCTGAAGATCAAAGGACATCCGTATGACATGTGCCTGATAGACAGCAACACTGTGGCGGTCACTACTGTCAAACCTGGTGCTATGGTTGTGGTCAGTGTAAAATCCTCCAAAATTTCCATTTTGCGTGTCACAAACATGGCCTTTGGAGCAGGCTACGTTGGTATCACATACACAGGTGAAAGGTTCGTCTTGAGTATGGAAGGAGGAAATTTGTGCACTTTTGGGAATGATGGAACTTCTGCTCGTTTACATAGATATAATTCACCCTGTTATCACCTCGCCCATGATCCGCGCAAAGGACAGATACTTGTCAGCCATTCGTCAAAGAGCGGTGTTGCTGTATCGAGTTTGACGACTGACAGACGCAACAAAAGTCTATTAAATGCTGGTATCGTAACGGACCCATCAGGAATAGACGTGGACAACGAGGGTAACATTTACGTATGTGGCGAAGCATCAAACAACGTTTTACAAATGTCCAGTGACGGTACAAACGTCAGGGAGCTGCTGACGCTTTGGGATGGGGTGACAAGGCCACAGGCGATTTCTGTCTGTGGCGACAAGTTTGTGATAACCCACATCTCAGCATTCCAAGTTGAGATCCGGGTATTCCAACTCGTCTGAAGAACTTTGATACATTGCCAAACTTAAGTGTGACTACTTTCCGTTATTTAACAAGCATTATATATATATATTTTTTAATGTTATGCTTTATTGATGTTCAGATAACGTCATAAGTGTTTGTTTATTGCAGATAAAACAGTACTTTCTGTTCCAGGTCAGTATTCACTTTATTTGTTTGATGGAAGTTATACCGTTATCGTGATTGAAATGTTACGACTAAGCTTGAAATAACATTTTCTTGTTGAAATTGGACCAGGGATTTGGTATTGTCTACTGTTTTGTAGTAAAAAAATATTTGCCGTATAGGGAAAATTTGAATAATAGTAAATCCGACAGTAGAAGATTTGTAAAAAAAATAATGAATGCTGTAGCAAACTATTTCGACATCATTACCGAGAATTAAGTACAGAACAATTGTCTGCCCATTTGGGCATTAAGGACATCAGTGGGCCAAGAAAAAAAAAGCGATGTTGTTTCCAAGCTGTAGTGTAGTAGGACACGGAAAAGTGATAAAGATGGTACTGGGGCTCAAACCCGCGACCCTTGGCTCTCCAGCCCGATGCTCTACCGCTGAGCTAAAGGGAAATTCCCTGACGCTTGTAAGGCAACCTAATTAGTCCACATCTTTTACACTATTCCTCCCTTTTTTTCAAACACCAATCCAGGTTCTTTGACTCCCCGCCAAGGGTTCTCCTACAGAAATGTACCTTGAACGAGGAGGGTCAATGGTACCAGTTTGAAGTAGGCCGAGGAAGAGTGATAAAGATAGTGCCGTCGCTGGGGCTCGAACCCGCGACCCTTTGCTCTCCAGCCAAATGCTCTACCTTTGAGCTAAAAGGAAATTCCCTACAGCTGACGCTTGTAAGGCAGCCTAATTAATCCACATCTTTTACTGTAGCAATGATTGGTGGAGATAATAAGCATTATTGCTTTCCAAATATAAATGAAACTTCTACAGACTCCTATGTCTAGAGTCAGTAAGACCATGCATTTTGTTGTTTTTCCTGACTTTGCTTATTTATCTATCTAACAAGTGTGAAGTTGCAACAGTTGACAGCAAAACAAAAAGATACCATTTATCTAATACAAATCTCGTGGCTTTAGGTTTAATTATAAGGAGAACTTAAGGTTTAATCTTGAGATTGACATAAAAAGACGCATATTTGCTTTCTACTTTTATAGGCTTTTTTAATTTAGATTTAAATATTCTAAATAGAAGCAGTATTGAAGTGTTTGTATCATCAGTTACAAACGATACCCCAGGACAGTCTCCTAATGTCACTAAGGATGCCTGTTCCATTACACTGATTTTTAGCATATAGAGTAACCTCCTCTTAACTTTTGTTTGGATATAACTGTAGCACAGTTGGGCCAGGAAACTTCCATCTACCAGCTAGGTAACTCAATCGGCTATGACAGTTTGAAGTCCTTGGTACGAATCCCGGTCTAATCCCGCTGAATTTTACAATTAGAACACTGCTGTTGATTAATTTTATGTTAATTACACCTCTATGCTTTCTCATGAAGCTCCTGTTAGGTATATGATTTATAAAAGCCATAATTATGCAGAAAAAGTTGTTTCCAGTAAAAGGTTAGTTTTTGGCAGTGGTACCNTGATGTCCCTTTAAGTGTTTGTTTCTTACGATTGGCTCACATTATGCGAGGCAGGGCAAGAAGCATCAAAATGACATTGGTCGTCAACTTTTTATTTTAAACAACTTCTGNGATTCATAAAAATGATTAAATCTAAGATAATCATCGGTATTTCTACCTGTCTGACCAACGTTTTGTTCAGGAATTCCCTTTACTAGCGCATGCACATAGCACACCATTTCTTTGTAGACAAAATGACTGGCCGTGTGAAGAAAGCAAAAGAAAAGTGTTGTACTGTGTCAGCTACAAACCGAAAAGATGCCAAATGGTCAAAAGATAGCGCAAGGGGTACGTTACAGAATCATTATTGCCAGTGGGAAGTATTCAAAGCAGAAAATAACTGCCCTAGCAGTTAGTACGGTGCATGTATTCTTCCGGATAGCGGCCGGTTAAGCTGAAATGAAATCGACAGAAATGCTAGCGCTGTTTATGTTATGAATAAATATCTAAAACTATTACTCTCCCTAGTATCATTGTGCGATTTGAACACAGATGAACTTAGTTTAATATGTTAATGGGCATGTATCGGAGAGAGTTTACTTTGTGTTTTATAATTATACAGTGGTGTATGCGAAATGAAGGGATAAGTGAATGGTTAGTTTGATTTTGCCACGAGGCCCTCCAAGGGATAACTGTTGTGATGGCCACGGCGTATTCTGTTCTCTCCTCTGTGGGTACTCGTGATCGGGGTCAAATGAGATACGTGCGCTATTAGATTTACATAATTTATATTATTACCGGGATCAATAAAATTGTATGATTTAATTATATTGCTGAATTAAACGATTTTGTTTTGTTTTGACATGCTAGATTTAAATTATTTCTAATATGAATACCCGGCCTCCTCTGGCGCGACGACGCAATACATAAAAAAAATCGCTCTTCATCAGAAAGCTGCATTATCGCAGCTAGATTAAAAATGTCAAAATGACGGACCAGGATGAATAACTCAGGAAGGAGAACCTACTTCTAGTAAATAGGATCGCATAACTTTTTTTTTTTTATCGTAATTTTTCAACAGTTCATGTTTTCATATGATGTTGACTTAGAATGTATGATAATGTAACAACCTTTTCTCGATAAAGAATTAATTTTCGACTTCAGATAGCCTGTAGCATGCTAGGATGAAGGACTACCAAGTTTGTTCAAATGAATGACCTTGACCTACTTCCAAGGTCACAGGGGTCAAATATGTTAAAATCTTCAAACGACTTCTCAATAACCAAAAAGCCCAGGGTACAGAAATTGTGCCTGTAGCATGCTGGGATGAAGGACTGCCAAGTTTGTTCAAATGAATGATCTTGACCCACTTTCAACCTAATGTCCTTGTTCGACATTCAAGGTCACAGGCATCATATGTTTAAACCTTTTAATAGGTTCTTATGAATCAAACACTGATATTCTGCCTGTAGCTGTATTTTAGTCCAAATACCAAATGAGCAATGCAGGCCCATTGGGCCTCTTGTTCTGCTATATTATTTGATGGAATATGTAAATAGGATTACAATATTCAAAGTAAACCAAATTTCCATATCTGTATCTTAATACCCAAAATAGTACTGCGCCATAACTTGTTTCCACAGCAGTATACATGTATCTTAATACTCAAAATGGTACTATGCTACATGTATCTATAAATTTATCTTTATATACTCAAAGCGGAAATGCATCACAACAAACATCTACCTCTTTATCTTAATACTCAAAATTGTACAACTCATTAATTTTTATACCCCCCGCAACAAAGTTAGGGGATATACTGCAATTAACTTGTCTGTCTGTCTATACGTCCATCTGTACGTCCGTAGAAAAAGTTTGTCCAGACAACTTCTAAAGTAATGGACCAATTTCAACGAAACTTTCCAGATATGATTATTACCACCGGAAGTTGTGCATCCAGGTATCATGTCTTCATTCTGACCTACTTTTTACGAAGTTATGGCCCTTTGTTGAAAAAATCCTGAAACGTTTTGTCTGGACAACTCCTTTAAGTTATGGATCGATTTCAACGAAACTTTTCAGGTATGATAACTACCACCTAACGTTGTGCACTGGTATTACTTTTTTTTTTACAAAGTTATGGCCCTTTGTTCAAAAATCTTTGTCCGGACAGCTTCTCCAAAACAACGGGGACAATATCAACGAAAGTTTTCAGATATGATAACTATCACCTGATATTGTGCATCCAGGTATTATTTTTTCATTCCGATCCTTTATTTTTAGCTCAGCTGCCCTTCAGGCAGGTGAGCTAATGCCATGGCACGGCGTCCGTCTGTCCGGCGTCCGTCAACTTTCCTTTAAACAACTTCTTCTGAAGAACCAGAAGGCATAGAGTCATGATATTTGGCTGGTAGCTTTCTTATATGGAGCCCGACAAAGTTTGCGAAAAAAACAGAATTTGACCTACTTTCAAGGTCACAGGGGTCAAATATGTAGAAACCTTCAAACAACTTCTTCTGAAAAACCGAAAGGTTTAGAGACATAACAATTGGTAGGTAGCTTCCATGGAATAAGCCGAACAAAGTTTGCGAATAAAAATGGCTTTGACCTACTTTCAAGGTCACAGGGGTGAAATATGTCAAAATTTTCAAACAACTTATCTTCTGAAATACAGAAAAGGATAGAGATAAGAGAATTACCTGGTAGCGTCCTTGGTAAAAGCCAAACAAAGTCTGCAAAGAAAAATGACCATGACCTACTTTAAAGGTCATAGAGGTCAATTATCTCAAAACCTTTAAACGACTTCTGAAATACTGAAAAGCCTAGTGACATTGTATTTAACTGGTGGCGTCCTTAAAATTAGCCAAACAAAGTTTGCGAATAAAAATGACCTTGACCGATTTTCAAGGTCACAGGGGTCAAATGTGTTAAAATCTTTAAACAACTTTTTCTCAATAACGAACAGACAAAGGGTGAAGATTTATAGCCAATAGCATGCTGGGATAAAGGGGTACCAAGTTTGTTCATATGAATGACCTTGACCTACTTTCAAGGTCACAGGGTCAAATATGTAAAAAACTTCAAACAACTACATCTGAAATACCAAATGGTTTAGAGACATGACAATTGGTACGTAGCTTCCATGGAATAAGCTGAACAAAGTTTGCGAATAAAAATGATGTTGAACGACTTTCAAGGTCACAGGGGTCAAATGAGTTAAAATCTTCAACATTTTCTCAATAGCCCAACAGACATATAGGGTGATGATATATGGCCAGTAGCATGCTGGGATAAAGGGGTACCAAGTTTGTTCATATGAATGACGTTGACCGACTAAAATATTGTTTGTAAAGTTTGCGAGGGAAATATTTTTAGTGCAATATAATATTTAATGAGAATATTTTGCTATGACTGCTTAAATATTCAGGTGAGCGATAGAGGCCCTCTTGGGCCTCTTGTTTTAAATGCTTGTCCGCACAACTTCTACAAAAACCTCTCTAAAACTTCTGGGCCAATTTCAATGATGAATTTTTCAGATATGATTACTACCACCTGATGTTGTGCA